CCACTGCACTCCAGTCTGGGTGACAGAGTGAGACTCCAACTTTAAAAAAAAAAAAAAAGTCTCTCTTCTTAATTCATTTGAGACAATGCAGTTGGACAAACAGAACAAGTATTCTGGGGGCAAAAAAAGGTGTATGTGAAGTTTGGAAGTGGACTTTCTTATGAAACTCATGTTGCTTTACCTGTGTAGAAAATGAAGGCGAGAAATGGAAGAGCTCTCTAGTCTTGAGCCTTTATAGCTTATCTTCTTTAAGAAAAAAAAATGGTTGGGTATGGTGGCTCACGCCTATAATCCCAGCACTTTGGGAGACAGAGGCAATAGGATTGTCTGAGTCCAGGGGTTTGAGACCAACCTGGGCAACTTGGCAAGACCTCATCTCTACAGTAAATCAAAAAAACTAGCCAAGGCGTGGTGGCATGTGCCTGTGGTTCCAGCTACTTGGAAGACTGAGGCAGAAGGATCACCTGAGCCCAGCAGTCAAGGCTGCGGTGGCCATGAGCATGGCACTGCACTCCAGCCTGGGTGACAGGGTGAGACTCCAACTCCAACTCCAAAAAAAAAAAAAATATATATATATATGTATATATGTGTGTGTGTGTGTGTGTGTGTGTGTATGTATGTATAATATATATATGTTAAGTGGAGACCAAATATGCTGCATGATGCATTCACTCAGCTGTATTAAAGAGCAACAGAACAAGGACTATCGAGTGAAATTTATCTATGAAAGATTGAGACATACGCAAATGGTTGAGGAAAGAGTCAATACCTTTGTATCTGCTGATGATGTCCAAGTTTATGGAACTCTTAGTTCTTCGCCTCTCCCTGCCACACCTACTCCTCCCTCCTCCTCTGTCCTGTCCTTTTTCCTGTCCTGGTGAACGTCACCACCACCCGCTTTGTTGCTCAGGTCATCCTTGGAGCTGCCTTGACTTTCTAACTCCCCTCATATGCTACACCAGTCCCAGCATCTCTTCCTCTAAATTAAATCTTTGACCTGACCACTTTTCACTGCCTCCAGTGTTACTGTTCTAGTTTAAGTCACTATCACTTTTAATTTAGATGACTGTAGTAGCCTCTAAACTAGACTCCTTTTTTCTACTTTTGTTCCGCGAGGTCTCTCTTCCACGCAATAGCCAAAATTATTTTGAAGTTAATGGGATCACATTGTTCAACTACTCAAAAATCTTCCAATGGCTTCCCATTACACCTACAATAAAATGCAGGATTTTGGGCATACAGTCCCTACATGATTTGGCCCCCTCCATCTTCAGTTCCTACCACTCCCCTGTTTACTGATCGTGTCCTGGTCTCACTGGCCTTGTTGCCAGTTGCATGATGGTAGGTAAAAGAAACCATTCAACAGGCTACGTACTGTAGATTCCATTTATGTGACATTCTGAGATCAAAGCTGTAAGGATAGGAAACAGATGAGTGGTTGCCAGGGGCTGGGGGTATGGAGAGGGACTGACTGCAAAGTATCATGAGGAAGTTTTGAGGAATGATAGAAATGTGCCTCATCTTGATTGTGGTGGCATAAGGACAATCATATGCATGTGTCAGACTAACAGAACTATACTCTAAAAATGGCAACTTTTACTCTCTGCAGGTGATGCTTAATTAAGCCTAACTTTAAAGAAAAGTCAGATTTATTGTTTTATCAGTTACTCCTACA